TAATAATGGGGACTATTTTATTTAATAAATGTTTTGTTTGAAATATAAGTTGTTCGGGTTTTTTTCATCTAAAGAAAGCGACATTAATTTCTTGACGACCTAATACTTTGTATTCTCTTGGTTACAAGATAAATTTTTCAAATTTCTGGCAGTGCCGGATTTATAGAGGGTATAACCTTTGTAATTGCATGGGGGCCCTTGAACCCCAAAGAATGGGGCTTCAATTCAGTACTATAAATATAGGAGATTACAGGGAACTGTCCAGAAGCCCACGATAAATTTCCAAACACATTGAAAAAAATCATATCAAATTTTCACATTTGTATACATTGAGAAATAAATTAAGATAACCAAATATTGAGATTTTTCCGATTAATATCTGCAAAGTAATCCATCAACATTGACTTGTATTTTTTATTTTAAGATTTATTTTAACCCTTTCGCGCCCACACATACTAGGTATTACAGTAAAAAAATTGCAACATTAGTAGTTACCCCGCCACTTGCAAGAAACGCCATTATAGGGCGCCACACGTGTGTCGGACTTGAGAAGGGAGGGGATTATGCCATCAAAAGACGATGACGTCATAGTTCCATAAATTGTCATGACAGGGCGCTTTGCTCGGCCGCCATGACAGGCGAACATCACGTCAAAGTTCCAAAAACGGTTAAAAGTATAGTTCGATACCAGACAGATGGCTATGACGTAATAATTCTATGAAAACAGAGACCGCCATGACAGGTGGCCATGACGTCATATACAATGATGCACATGATGTGTGTCTCAACATGACTTTAATTAGTTTAAATCACTAATATATTAGTTAATCAAATCATCCTAAAAAGGACACTTAATACTAACTTATTAGTTCCATACATTTCCTGACCATTTATATGTCCTAAAAAGGACATTTAACACTAATTCGTTAATTAATTAAATTATTTATAACTAAATTGTCCTAAAAAGGAAGCTCAACACTAATTCATTAGTTAATTGAATTATTTACAATTAAATCATCATAAAAAGGGCGCTTAACATTAATTCATTAGTTTATTAAATCATTTATAATTAAATCGCCCTAAAAGAATGCTTGACACTAATTCATTTGTTTATTAAATTATTTATAACTAAATTGCCCTAAAAAGGAAGCTCAACACTAATTCATTAGTTAATTGAATTATTTACAATTAAATCATCATAAAAAGGGCGCTTAACATTAATTCATTTGTTTGTTAAATCATTTATAATTAAATTGTCCTAAAAATGACTTTTAACACTAATTCATTAGTTATTTAAATTTCTTGATAATTTATATGTAAATAATCCTAAAAATGACGATATCATGCATTAATTAAATTTTACACTTTCACTAGTTTGACTTTATGTTTGACAAAATATTTCATTTTACTCATGATACTATATAGTTTTATCTTGCATGAGTTTTACAAGGGTGGACACTACACTTCAACATATGATCAATGTCTAGATTTAATTACCATTACTTAACGACTGCCCATAGGATTTTAACAAATGTACTGTTATCCACTATATAAATAAATATGTTTAAACATTATTATAGAATAAAAACACATACCATTTTTTTCCATAAATCTTTGAAGGCTACACTTTTTTAGACATATGTTGACAACAATAATAAACAATAGTATATCAGATGGTGCTCGTGTTTCCAAACATTTTATCGGATTTATCACCATTGAAGACTCCAGTGGTAAAATAATTGTTGGAAATTTTTTGCTTGATATAAAAAAATAAAACATTGATATTAACAACTGCAGAGGCCAGTTTTACGATAATGACTTCAATACAAAGCATATCAATAAAGGTGTTCAGAAAAGGCTGTTTGACATCAATAACAAAGCAATGTATAAGCCCTGTGCAAGTCACACACTAAATCTGTTGAAATATTAGATGCTGCAAAGTCAACAGTGCAAGACTTGAGTTTTCTTTTTTTGGCATATTAGAGGGACTACATGCCATTTCCAGTAGCTCAGTGCAGCAGCATTGGGCAATTTTAAAGGAGCATGTAGCTCGTTCAATTTTAAAAAGGGTATCAGACACATGTTGGGAAAGTAGAATTGAAGGCGTTTTGTGATACCATCTGTGAGAATTGGGTGATACTTTGAACACATTGAACAGTTATGAAATTGACAATAAGATGGAACTATTGCCTCGGATGCATCAAATTTGAGCAATGACATTGTTTCGCCGAAGTTCACCATCTCTGTGGTAATTTGGCATGATGTCTTATAACAAGTCAATTGGACAAGCAAGTTATTTCAGAGTCCTGAAACAAGCATTGACGTTCTCTGTAAGGAAATTGAAGCTATCCACATGTTTCTGCAAGAAAATAGAACAGTTTTTAAAGGCCCAGATTGATGGTAGAAAGATTTCTGAAGCTATGGGAGTCGAAACACATAAAAAAAGAAAGAAAGAGCAGATTTTTTATTATGAAAGTAAATAAGTCAGATAACACAAAACCTTTTCTTCATACTTATTGATGTTGCTCTAAATAGCATAACTAAGCGATTTTCTCAAATGCAAACTTTCTATGATGTCTTTGGCTTTCTCTGTTCTATCACTGATATGAAAATGACATCAGATCAGAACACACTACAAGCTAGTTGTGTGAGGATTGGAAACAAAATGGTGGACATTGATTCTTATGATTTACATTTAGAAGTATCATGTGCAATTAAAGCACTACCACGCAATGCCTCTTCACTTCAGGCTCTTAGCTATATCTTCAAAGAAAATATAGTAATTTGTGTCCCAACTTGACTGCTGCTTTGTATTTACTGTTGACTGTGCCTGCAGCAGATGCCTCGGGTGAAATAACTTTCTCACGTTTGAAGCTGATAAAAACTATTTGAGGTCTACCATGTCCCAGGAATATTTAAATGGTCTTGCTCAGATTTCCCCAAAGGATTAAGTTTCAAGAAAGATGCCATATGGCGATTGTATCAATGATTTTGCATCCTCAAAAGCACGTAAAATACATTTAAAGAGCTGTATGTCCTGACAGAATAAAAGTTATAGTTTTATTCATGTTCAAATAAAACAGTATTTAGTTGGAGGAGAGATAGAGTGATCCCAATGTTAATATGTTCAAATATCAGGCTGGAACTTCTGAGTTAGTGGCTCCAGGCCTAAAAATACATGCAACAGCAACCCCTTGATAAAGTGCTTCAAAAATGAATCATTTTTCGATTTTTATAGGACCTTTGAATTACCTTAGGAAGAGAGCCTCCAGCTTCACAGTATTGCATGAAGCCTCAAGGTTCTAAATCTGGCCCTGATTTCAAGTATTTTTTTAAAATATAGAACATTGGTGAAAGGACCTACTAAGATTCTCTTGTCTTGAATATTCATTCGACTGAATGAGTCACCAAGAATATTGCATGTATTTTCCATAAGAAGATATTGCTATAGCATGAAAGATTATATAGATAGAAATAGTGATAACTGACCATGTGATAAATCAAGTGTGTGACACTCATTTGTGACATTAAAGTGATCCTAAGTGACATGGATGGTTCGTTCCCCTAGAAGGAAAATAACTTTGTATATATTATGTATTCTTTGTTTGAGATACTTTTTTCTATATTTTAGAGATAGATAGATTTTAACAGATATCACATTTTTTGGATTCAGCTTTGGACATGTCTATTTTCCAGATCACACTTATGATATAGATTCAATAGAGTGTTACCTATAGAGAGGTTCTCATAGAACACAGAGATTCTTCCAGGCATCTGAGAGTATAAGTAAAGCTCTGTCTCTCTCCAGTCGAGCACAACCACATGTCTAATTGTTAAACTTGACTTTGTTTTTAATATAGATTGTGAATGTTTGCAAATTTATTTTCAGTTTTGTTGGTGTTTGTCGTTGTCTTTTTTTGTTGTTTTTGTGCGTAAAGATTCTATGAAATGCAGAGCAAATACACGCACTGCTCCGTAAAACAGTATCCGACGAATCCTCTTGTTATTTGGTTTTCATACATATATCTTGTATGGTGATCATACTCTTAGTAGAAAGCTCTATAAGTGGGCATTGGCGATGACAGATTTTACTTTTAGATAGCCCAGTGGTAGAGCAATGACCCTATTAGCCAGAGGTTTTAGGTTCGAATCACGCTCCTGACATTTATTTTCACTTAACCAATTTAATGTTAAATCTAGTCCTTTCGCAGAATTAACTTTAATTTTTTTCATTTGAAAATGGCATATAATAACTGGGATCTCATACTGCTTATTTTTTATTTTCCGAAATGATAACAAATAACCCTAATATACAATATACATGATTTCAAATATGTCAAAAATAATGATTTTTGTTTTTTTTACAGCTGTGACAGAGTGTTTTTTTGTTAAATACCTTTCTGAACTGGTCAATTTTTGGACATTTGACTGTTTGTTTTTTAGTTGGTATATACTTTCAAGTAAACAATGAGTATATTTTCAAGTTCTCGCTATAACTGAGACAGAAACATGATGTATTTTAAAACTGAAACAAAACTCGTGACGTAGTGCATTTCAAACTGTTTGTGCCAAGCTACTCGAGGGCTATCTGTGCTCGCTGTCCTTAATTTAGAAGTGTGAGATTAGAGGGAAGGGTTCTAGTCAACATCATCCACTGGTAGGATCTTGAGCAGAAAACGTTTACGGTGAGACATCCAAGAAAATAGAATGCTAAAAGATCACAGTGTTTTAAACAGAATGATTACACCTCTACCTTCATCAAAAACTCCCCGAGAAAGGACCACAACAGAAAGATAAGATAAGAAGAGCACCACTACTACTATTTCCCTCCCATACATACAAAATTTCAGTAAAAACTCAAGCGCATAGGCGAAAAGTTCAACATAGACACCCATTAGAAATCTTACAAGATAATAAAATACATTCCATTGAATATTAAACAGAAGCGCACTTATGAAAAAACACAAAAAATGAAATTTGTGAAATTTCATGTTCCTGCAACGAACCATTGGAAGAATAAAAAAAGATAAAGACAGTACAATACTCATGAAAAAACAAAATTCAGCCATTTCAGAGCACACCATGTCAACTGGACACGAAATAAACTGTGATAAAACTAGAGTCATCGACAAATTTTAGACGACAAGAAAAATTAAAGAATCTTTCTACTTCAATACAATAAAGCCTTCAATAAACAGATTTAGGATTAAAGGTAAGTAACCTATGGCTACTATTGGTTGAAGCCACATGCAGCCATTCCACTAATCAGAACCAGGGATAAACAGATGCAGAGATCTTCACTCCATCCCCAAGTACCCCAAAGCCAGAGAGTCTACAAGATGTGTCAACTGTGGCGGCCCCTATGCTGCCTCATACCGAAGGTGTTTAAAGTACCAGATGGTCAGTAGCTTTAAGCTGAAGCTAAGTGCTAATCATCTCTCTCCTTCAAGTAAAAAAAAAAACAACAAAAACGTTAGCACAGAAGAACACACGACAGGGTAACTGCTTTCGTGCTCCTTCAGCCAGGGGGAATCTACCACTGCTGCCCACACCACCAACCACGAACCATTTCTTCAGCTGACCTAACCTCCACTTATCGGCTGTATGCATCAGAGTTTTATTGTCTCAGCATTCATGGCTCTTCTTTGACATCTTGAGTTATCTCAGTCACGCTAGAACTTTAATACAACATATGTGGAACTAAATCTTCATCAAATACATCACCTGTGCGGGACGAAGGGGAACGATTGTTCCTTAGCACCCCTGTTGGGAAGAACCCGCAACTTCTTGTAGCGTTCTCTTCGTTCAAACTAAATTACTGTCAAGTTTAATTAATAATTGATAAAGTTCTTACCTTTTACATAGACATGTACTTTTTTCGCAGTTTCTTCACTCAGCACAGGTTTTACAAGTGCGTAGGCTAAAGGAAATATCTTCGAAGCTGTTGGAAAATGAGAAATTGTTGTGCTAATTAATATTTTTATAAGCATTATGAATTATAAATATGTTTAAAACAAGTACGTTTACTTTATGTTAGCAGCCTTTAAATCGCCAGTAGTAAAAAGTGTTTTCTATCAAACTGGGGAGTCTGTAATTGAAAGAGGCCCAGAATGTGATTCAAAATCCTTACTCTAGTGACAGCTTTGTAAGAGTAACTTTTTAGTGACACTTTAATAGCAGAATCTATATTTTTGTCAGAACTTACAATTATAATTTTCCTGAAGAAGTCGTATTTTAGTTGTTTTATTGTATGTTTGTAATCAAACACAAAGCTGTAGAATGGACTGTCTGTGATGTACCCACCGTTGGTATCAAACCTAGAATTTTAGCGTTATAAACTCTCAAGCTTACTACTGAACCACTGTGAGGGGGGTTGGTTGGAAATGTTATTTTTTAACAATAATCTAAGATAAAAAAATATTTTGCCAAATTTACAATTATACTTTTCCTTAAGGTAGTCGTATTTTGTTTTTTGTATTCTAAATGTAATTTGTAGTGATATTTTGCGAGAAATATAATAACATTTTTGGCCTCAATTTACAGTTGTAATCTTACCTGAAGCGGTCGAATTTTGGTTGCTATATACAAAATGTATTTTATAGTAATATCTTAAGAGTAAAAAGTATATTATGATTTGTTGTATTTTCAAGTTCTGGCATAAAGTTTGCAAAATTTTCCGTGATCATTTTCTTTCCTTCTTCTTTAGTTATGATAAGTTATTGGTAATAGTTTTTTTTTTCGTTTTCTCTCTTCTAATCCTTTTTGCAGGTTTCCCTAAAGTACATTATTCTGTATATAAAACAAATTTTTGAGCTTTCTTTACACATAAACCTGAAAATTCTTACCATTAATCACATAAATTTTCTTAAGTCGTTCAGGATAATTGTCTTCACATATTGCCACCAACTGTGTAATCATGTCAACGGCTGTAAGTAACCAATCAGAAAATTGTATTAGAGATATATTAACCAATAAGGCGATATTTCACAAACTATTTTTTCATGGTTTGTATTTCATGAATTCTACTACTTCGTTCAAAGTAAGACGATTAAAAGATAATTTTGAATATCTATTTCATTGAAATCCACAATTCTTTATTAATTATACTTGTCATTAGCATTAGGCCTATTATATTTTTAACACTACTTTCTTCATTTAGCCCCTTAGGAATTTTCAAGAACTTAGAAGAGTGTATAATGAGAGTATTTCAACCACACTATATTCGTCATATCTATTGCCAACAACGCGTTTCGTGCAATCCTGAGCTCTTCAAGGAGGTTGGGGTACAACAAACACAGTAGTGGTCGGAACACTATTGAATTTGATAAAACAACAGTTTCACCAGCTTGTAAGTTGGCTAATTTTATGAAAGCAAGAATAATCAAGAAACAAATAATTATTGTAAATATTAAAATTCAGCCGATTCAAGTACAAATAGCCAGAAGTTGTATATTACAACTCAAAAAATGACATGAACAATTATTTTCTTAACGAATGACATTACACCATTCACCCGCAGCTTCATCAATGTAACCATTTTTTACATTTACCCTCATTAATATATACTAGTGGTGCACATGTACTTCCGCTTACTAAAATTGAAACAAAGCAATATTAATGGACGAATAATATAGCGTAATACTTCAAGAAATAATATATAGTAACACTTATTAGAAACAAGTCAGTTAATAAATAATAAGCCACAAACTTTGCACAGTCTTGGACTGGGTCAGCGTGCAGGACATCGTATATGAAGGTTTATTATTATTTGCATCCCGTTAAGCAATAAATAAATAAATAATAATAATAATAAAATACATTCCTCAGTTTGTGGTTGTGTTATAAGATTAAAGATCAAGGCTTACTATTCGATTAGTGTAGCCCAAGATTTGGAGGTGGGTAATGCCTTCGCTCTGGTTTATCAGCTCAAAATTAGTGACAGTTAACTTAAACACTTCTTGTAGCTTTGCGCGAATATCCAAAACCAACTGCGCAATCTTTCAGAAGGTTTACTTACTCTAGTGTCAGTTTATCTTCCGTTTACGTTTCATAAGTAAGATTAAAACTGCAAAAAATGTGCACCAAAATGTATATAAAAATCTAGTTAAGTCTACTTATAACATAGGTGTACCGGATCAAATGATCCGTTTTATGTAAACTCATTCCAAGACGTGTCTTTCTTTCTATTTGGAGCGTGTACGCGGAGTAGAACAGAAAAGTCAAAGATTTTAGGAAACATATATTTTCGAGTGACATAATCAAGGCTATTTTTATTTAATTATTTTTCATGTTTTGAACTTTTACAGAAGAGTGTTTGCTATTTGCATAATTGTTTTTTGGAATGAGATGAATGTTAAGTCCTGTTAAGGAGCTTGACTTAAGCGACATAGTATAAAACTGCAAGTTGTGTAACCCAAGTGACATAACATAGAACTCCGTAAAGTTCGTAACATATGCGTCGCGGTACAGAACGCTGCGTTTAACCTAAATGGCGCGATATAGAATTGCAAGGTGCTTAAAATAAGCCTCAGTATATAAAATATAGTTTGTGCTTAGCATAAGCGACATATATAGTACTCATTAAAGTGCTTGACGTAAGCGACATTGTACACCGCTCAATAAAGTGCTTAATATAAGTGCCATGATATAATTCTCAGTAAAGAGCTTTAAAACAAGAGACATGGTGTACGTCTTAGTAAAGTGATTAACATAAATAAGCGTGCAATCAGGATCTTGTTTATGGAGTGATATATTGTAGTTGATAAATGTCTTTCGGTTATATTATAATGGTTACTGAGCGAATAACAACAATAAGTGTATTTCTTATTATCTTAAAGTATTTCAGATTAGAGATAATTATCCAGCTTTCTAATTATGACTTTTATTAGTAGTATATATTTATTGCACAGATTTTAAAAGTTTATGGAGAGCTCGAACTCCCAAGCCTTCTCCTTCGCTGTGCGCATGAACACAAGCGACTGGGTATACGCAATAGTGCTTAACTTAAGTCACATAATATAAAACACTGGGTGCTTGACATAAGCGACATAGTGTAAAATGCTAGGTGCTTGCCATAAGCGACATGATGTAAAATGCTATGGGCTTGACATAAGCGATATAGTGTAAAACGCCGCATACTTTTATATTGTCCACACAGTGTACAATCTTCTGAGATTATAATTTGAAAATGACGGGAAAATATCAAATTCGTACTGTAAACATTCTTTTCTAGAAAAGAAATCTCTAGTACCAAGAACAACTTACTAAACGGTGCTTATTACGTTAATAGACAATCTAAAGAATAGAAAAATGCGTAGCCTTGTAGTTAACGTGTAGGAAGGTTCAACGTACCTATGGTGATGGTGCTGAACACGTTCCATACTTTTAGATGTAACTGATTTTAAGAATGACAGTAAGTCCTGTTACTCGGCTCAAAGTTGGAGAAAGACCTTGCGGCGATAAGTGCTTTAACTGTCCATTAGTTCAAACTTAAGTACGGATAAACCTGAACCATGGGGGTCTCTTATCTCACCATTTAGCCCAAGTGCGCACATGGTGTCGCTAAATTTGAAAATACCAACACTATTTAAAGAAACGAGTTTGCTGATGTGATTTTAGTAGCCTAATCTAAATTTTGATTTCACAGCTTGGACTTAAATTGTCAGATCTAGAGTTAACTTTTACAAATTTTAACAGTCGGACCTAACTTAAGTTGATATAAGCATTGAATTATCTTGATTTTATTGCTTATCTGACTTGGGCTACTTTAGCTTAGATCATAAATTAAATGTGCTTCATTACAATTTGATGACATATCTACAATGACGTCATAAAACTAAACTTCACCTGGTTTCCAGGCTAGTTGCTTCATAGTAAAGTTTTCCATGTCAAATATAACGCTGTGCATTTCAATTACCTTTCCAAGCTGAAAAACAAACAACAATAAAATAAACAAAAACATTATCCAAAGGCTCATCATCAGTCACCAACAACTTTACGATAATTTAATATCTATATAATATGTGTTACACAAACACTGTTATTTGTGAAACAAAGGTAAAAACTGGCGTCAACTGACTTACACAGATATTACAGAAATGGTTAGATTAAGGAAGGCTAATACAACGACGTTTTCATAAGTTTTTGGGACAGAAGACTTTCGAAACGTCGTCACTATGGCCTTCTTCATTGGAACTTTAGGATAAAGTTCTGATATCCGTTTATGTCATTCGTCGCCCATTATTAACTTTATTTCATCATGAATACACTACCTAAATCATCGAATAAGCCATAATTTTATCTTTGTTCTCAATATATTTATTTAAAAGTATGAATAATAATGTGGAGAAACTTTCTGGTATTCTTCTACTATACAGAAAATGTATCATATTTATGAAATACATTATATTTTATAAATGTTTTATATAAATCTACACAAGTCCTTTTCTGGTAACTTCCAAAACAGTACACAGTATATATTGTCCAAGAGTTTAACACAGAGACACACAGTTTGTTGCACGTGCAAACGTAATGTTTTTTTACAACATAAATTGACCACAGTTCAACGTGTGCAGCACGAATTACGTGCAAAATGTCCAGTCTGTCCAATCTCCTACCAAACGTTTTGCAACATTGCATGGGTAACCTTTGTGAAGGCTTCTTGAATACATTAATACAGTTTATCCATATTTGTAGCATCGTGTAGGGGTAGCGTCCTGCTGGAATAACAGGTTAAGTTATAATGTTTCCAAATGTGGCAAAATTCTGTAACATGTTAAGGTACGTTGCCTCTGTTTTGATGAATTTCACGCAAAGTTACTCGAGAGATATCTAATTCTGTAGTGAAAGACTAGAGGGTAAGCAGCTAATTAACCATTCACCGCCAACTCTTGGGATATTTCATTTACAGTGGGATTGATCGATACATTGTAATGTGCCCACAGCTGAAAGGGCGAGCACGTTCGGTGAAGAGGATTGATCTCGCGACCCACAGATTGCGAGTCCAACGTTCTAACCTCTAGACCATGCCAGGCCCAATTGCCGCTACAAGAAAGAACAGACCACTGACATTTTATTATGAGCGATTGTTGCCCAGAAATTCGCTTTCAGGCTGTCTCTCAAAACCTTTTATGAAACATTATTCATGCATGTGCAACAAACCGCATGTCTCTATGTTAAACGTTTCTCCCGGTGTTATACTTCAAAAGTGTTTCCAAAATTCTTGGGCACCCTGTATATGTAGATTAGTGTAGGTGATTATTTAGAGAAAGCGTTTCGTAAATTTACATTAGACTGTATAATTAAATCTTGGTTGTATATTTTAGTTACGTAGAGCCAATCGGTTTGTTATTTCATCAGTTTTGTAAAGTATAACAATACAAATAAGACAAGAGCAATCAGAAAGATTGCAAACCCTCACCCAACCATAAATGTGTAGATTTTGGGTTTCACCGTGCGCGTGAAAATCGGCCCTAATCCGATCACATTTTACACAGTTACTATTAACAAACTGAGAAAATTTCTTATACCTCAATTATAAAAAAATGTTTCAAAGTGATTCAGAATATATATATTTAGATTGTTACAATAACGTGTTAAACTTATACTTAAAAAAGGCATACTTTTTCACTCTGATCCTTCATATCCACTTCGCTTTTCTCTAACAGATGAACAAAATGTTTGATAAATTCTGACTTTTTCACTGAATGGAAAAGTCCTGTTAAGTATACAAAAAATAATTATTTTAGTAATTCCATATCCTTAGGTTGTTTATTAGCTAACTTAGATAACACAGGCCTGCGAATTTAAACTTCATGAAAGTTGTTTTGGTTGTAATAACGGATTTTCCATGATTCAGCTACGCAGGTTTCGAAAATAACTTTTTTTTTCTATCACGTAAGGAAGAGAAGAGAAAAAACTCTTACTTAGATCAAATTATTATTTTGTTTACCATAATGAAAATTCTTTATTATTATTATACTTGTTAATAAAAATACAATCAAACTGAGGAAAAGGGAAGAACATTAATGTCAAATGGGAAGAACATTAATGTCAAATGGGAAGAACATTAATGTCAAATGAATATACATCATCATTCATTCTTTTTTTTTGCGAAATCTAAATCTTTTAGTCTCAAAACTACAGACTCAAAAACTACGTATTATGGTCTTTCTTTTATGTATTGCGTTATGACGGTTTGTGAAAAATTTGTACATGATGGAGAAAAATGGATATTATTTTCGGATTCAGCGTATACAGGAATTACTGAAGAACATGTACAATAAAACCATCGCAGGCCTGTGTAATTAATTGAAACAGCGTGGATTTTCATTACATACATTTTTTTTAGTTTAATAAAAGAAATTTAAAAAAAGGAATTTGCTCTAAAGTGCAAGATGAGTATTTTACATTTGACCTGCAGTCATGTTTCAACTGATGTACTGTGTGTGTGTGTGACAGTAATAATTTCAGAGATGGTTGTCATCTGCGTGCTTCCATACAACTCCGCGGTTATCAATCGCTTCCTTCCATACGGTGTAATGGAGACGTAAGTAGTTAGGGCATGACCCGCGATGCACCCGCCTGATTGGCTGCCTGAGGGGAGGGGTGAAGATAGATACTATAATGTCATAGTTCTATGAAGTGGAACCAGAGAGCGCATTGCTAGGGGCACGTTGCTAGGCTGCCATAACATTTGACGACTGAAGTTGTCTGCTGCCAGAGAGTGTATTGTTCTGATATGTCACATGATATCATAGTTCGAATATTGTTCAACAGAGTTCATGTTACTAGGAGTCATAGTTCCATGAAGTGGTACCAGAGGTCGCGGCTAATTTAGAGAGGAGTGATATCATAGATCAATACCAGAGGGTCTGTCACTACAGGCAGACAGTGTTACTAAGGTCCTATAGATGGATGATTTTACTAGGCATATTGTGTGTGTTTTACAAAGGCAGATGTTGTTTCTATAGGCAGATGGTGTTACTAAGGTTCTATAGATGGACAGTTTTACTAAGGTTCTTTAGGCAGATGGTGTTACTAAGGGTAGTGTTTGTATAGGCAGACAGTGTTAACAAGGTTCTTTAGGCAGATGGTGTTACTAAGGGTAGTGTTTGTATAGGCAGACAGTGTTAACAAGGTTCTATATACTGTTGGTGTTTCTATAGGCAGACAGTATTACTATACTTTTGTAGGACTGCATACAGATTTCAACTTGTCTTAACTTACGTTTATAGTTGTCATTTATATACTTAACTGTATTGCATGTGTTTTACAAAGGTGGATGGTGCTACTAAGTGTATTGTGTTACTAAATAAGGACCTATAGGTGGATGGCAAATTGTGTTATTAAAACTAGTGTTGCTAGAGTGGGAAATGGTTTTATAAATGGATAGTTCAATAGGATGATGATCTGATCATAGGGTGTCTCAATGTGTCTCAACTTGTGATTATGTTATCAATGTCCAGATTTAATTATACGTCCTAGAAATGTAAATCTATTATTTATATTATTTTAGTGGATTATCATAACATTTAAAATGTTCATGACAAAATATCTCATTTTATTGTAGTTTTCATTTATAAATTTATTTGCATTACAAAGGTGGATGTTGTTTCTGTAGGTAAACAGTGTTACTATACTTCCATAGAATTGCAAACAGGTTTCAACTTGTCTCAACTTTTATTCATAGTTTTTATTTATACATTTAACTGTATTACACGTTTCTGTAGGTGGATAGTGTTATTAACACATTTAACACTCTGCTGAAAAATATTTACCACATCTAATGTTTCGTTTTTATAAATATTGAATGAGACAGTTAATATTGCTGATCATGTTTTTAATGAGTTAGTACACATTTAACACACTGTAGTATAGTTTTGCTTCTATATTTAATTTGCATAACATACATTTTACAATTATCATCCTTAAAAGGGTACTTATTTAAAATCTCTAAATAATGTACAACCGTTTTATGTTTAGCTTTATAAATTGATTCGTTCTGCTAAAGTTTAAAGGATCTAAATAGATAGTTATATTTAACTACCACTATTCTTACCTTTCTGTACATATTTTCACACATTTTTGTCTAAAGCTTATTTCTTGCTAGTTTGGAGCTTTATGCATAAATCTTGGTAGTTTTAGAGTACAGCTTATAAACGAACTTTCTTTATGCATAAGTAAAAAAATTGCAAGATAATCATCTTGCACAGATTTCTAACTCACACTAGTACAGTCTAAGAAGTCCAACTCAAATGGCATTGACAAACTTTGGTTGTTAGGAAATACAAAGGGCAGGAGAGGCCGTCATGTGCCCAAACAACCAGTATCCTCTTAAAACTGGCAGAATAAAAGGTCAAAAGCATTGAAAGTAAATGTCTGGAAATAGAAAATTACATACACCTTTTTGGTAAAATATATTTCTGAGTTGTAATGATATGTACGAAACTAAAGTTTTACCTCTTTATGATTCAAATGTAAATATTAAATATTTATTGACAAATTAAATATTGCATTACACTATAACAATTAATCTTTATAGTTCACCAAAGCATCAAATACATTTTTTTCATAAATTATCATAAAAGAGTTTACAGTCATAATCTTAAAAGGACTTTTAATTATAAATCATGTGATTATTTTTTCACTTTTTATAAATTCAACATATATGCTGTTTATCATTACAGAATACTGAATTTTTCATGAGACATTTTAATACATTGTAGTAAAGACGTGTCACCATATAACATAAGAACAAACTCTGATATTAGGCAAAAAGGTCCCATCAACAATTGTGTGTGTTGCAAAGTGTGCACAGTCCAGATGCTGTTACATTTCTCCTCATTGGAAACCCGTAGTAAATGATCAGTAAGCAAAAACTATCAGTCTTATTGTTATGTATTCATACATTCCCATAATTCAAGAAAGTCGTTATATGTTTAGTATAGATTGAACATAAGTTTTTTGACTGACAGTCTTGACATGAGACCTCGAGGCTGACATCAAACATGGGTCTCTTATTTTTTTTCCTTTCACTGACAAAAACAGACTCTACAGTAGCAAGAGGCTCCGTATTGTACACTTATCTTCCATCAAAAGAACGTTTTTTTATCGATGATCACAAAAGTAGTTCAAAAGTAGATAACATTCTCTAATTCCAACTATACCCTGTTGGCTCCTTAATATAAGAACATAGGTTTTTTGTTTTTTATGACTTAAACTTAAGGGAGAACTGTGTGATAACTATCTTATTTCTGTTACCAGAATGAACTTTACTATAACTATTTCATTGACGTTTAAAATGTAAAACTAAAATTCTATTATTATGTTATAATGTAGGAATAATATGAATTTAATAATAATAATAAGCATGGTCTTTCACCAGCACTCTCTGGAGATAAATCTAATCATTTTGAGTGAATATCTGATATGGTATTTATGTGAATTTATATGAATGCTATTTATAATCTGACTTGTCTTTTCTCAAAGGCCACACCTTTTGTCATGAGATTACAGAACTTACAAGTATATCACTGTATTGAAAATGCTCACTATGGTACTAATTGTCTCAGTGATAGAGTGATGTAGGATCACATTATTTAACACATTCTCCAACAGATTCTCAATATCTATGTGTGAAGAATCTAATTTTTACAGTTACAGTCTTTGTTGTTATATATCAGACAAAATATGTTAGTTCTTCTTTGCACTATGTTCAAGTATTGCATGACAATAGAACAGGTTGATTCTCAAGTCGAGGTCATTGACTGCCATATGACTAAGGAACAAAGGTCAGTAGGAGAGTAACTGCATAGAAAGTATACAAGTATTGTTGACTAACTGAAATGTACTAGACTTGTATGAAAGTCAATTTAATCTTGGCAAACCACCATTTTATAATCCATACATGTTTGAGTTTGTGTTATTCCTAAATATCAAAGAACATCATCAGAATTTGTCCCTCAGATAAATTTGAAGAATAGAACCCAAATTGTAAGATGGATGATACTGTTATTTCTTTAGGTATCTGAACAATTACATCTTGAAGAAGTTAGATCATGTATAGTAGTGTTAATCTACAAATATGTGAGTTGTAGATTAAAAACAGAAAACAGTAACTGCCTAATGTACCTCAAATTTTGCGATGTCATGAATGTACATTTGGCTTTCTGTGTCGTTTTTAAAATGGAAGAATAGATAAATTCGTATTTTACCGACTGTCAAGTTTGGTGGCATACAAAACAAAATCTCTTCTTCATTATTAGACTTGCATACAATTTATTTTGAATGTGAAGTATATTCTGTAATAATAAACAGTAAATGTGTATTTATAAAATGTGAAACAATCGTCTATTCGTGTTGATCATATCTTTTATCGTAAGAAACAACAAAATTTAAATATTTTGTCAAGACTTTTTACAGATTTTGTTCTTAAAAGTTTGAAACGTAGAATGTATGCACATTATTTGTGATAAATCTTGGATAAAGTCGTCTGTATCTAGCTTAAAGTTTCATTAATAAATGTTCCAGTGTGTGTGATACTTGACAAGTCTGTGATTTTTACTTACACATATTGATGATAGCATATTAGCCTATGGTGAAAACACGTCAGTGTTAAGCCCTAGATAATGGAAGGGAAAAAAATCTAATGTTTCAGCACGATTGCGGGTAGTCTAAGTAGTTACGAATTTCAAGTGCATCATATGTTTTGTAGAATTTCTAAATGAGAGAAAAACTTTCTATGATCATATCAGCTCGAAATCATTTTGAGGTGGAATGTCCCTTATGTTTCAATTTATAGTGACTTATTCTATTTGTCTAATAACATGATAGAACAAGTGTATACCGTAGGTATTATTACATTGGGCTGTATGTAAGTATTTTATAAACTAAGATGTTTAGGCAAATAATATATTAGTGTATCAAGAAGTTTGTTAATACATGTTTCACTATGTGTGATTTTGCTTACATACATTAATGATAGCATATTGGAGTATGATGAAACATGAGTTTTGTATAAGAAATATAAATGGAGACTTGTATTAGTTGTTAAAACACACTTTTTAGAAACTGATATTCATGGGATGTAATTTATCATAAAAAATTAAACTAGACATATAATTATCTGGCATTTGATCTTTTGTCTAAAAGAAGTAGAATTAAGTTGTTAGTGAATTATCAATGTCTGCAATTTTGACCAATTGCTGTGTGTTAGGCACAGTTTAATCTTGTTAAATAGTGAGTTTAAACGTTTTTGTTGTAAAGTATTAAGAACTAAGCAAAATACAAGAATTGTACACTAACATTTTCGTTTATAAACTATAATAACAATTTTACATAATGAACTGAAATGAACAAGAAGTAGTATGTTAGATGTTTAGTTTCATTGAATTCGTTATTCGTTTATTCATGTAGTGATAAGACCTTAGTACGATGTCTCGTGATAAATTCAGAGTTTGTTTTCACATAATGTTACACCAATAAAAATACAAACTCTAACTGAAATAGTAATGTGGACATAATGTCTAAAACTTTGTATGAACGCTAGTCCAGTATTTTATATCATAAGATGTTTATAATATAGTAGTTAAAAGCTATTTCAGTATGTTTGTCAAGTCTGTGATCTAACATTGTTATTGTAAAGTACACAGCGTGGTCACAAGTAAATAGACACCACCTTTTCAGAAAAAATGAAATTTTTCAGTCATATTCACAT